CCCCCCCCCCCCCCCCCCCCCCCCGCCCAGTGCTCTGTGTGGCAAAGGGAAGAAAGACACCTAGAGTGAATGAATGACCTCCTCCAAGATACTGAGCTGCCCAGTGCATTTACCTCCCCTGCAGGAGCTTTCTTTGTTCTGCTCCTCTTTGCAACATAATAGAGATTTCCTTGAAAAACTAACTGTTTATTTGGTTCTGTACATTCAGGTTTTCTCCTATGGTCATTAGTGTTAAATTAAAATCTGATTCAGATTACTCTACCAAATATTGGTTCATTAAAACCAATACTAACCAAAATGGCTGCCAAACAATGCGAGGAAATCAAATGAGTGTTAACTTCAAGTCCATCAGTTTTGGTCCAGGAATGCCTGTTTTTATCCTTAAAACTTTGTCCAGGTAAACCGTCATCTATAGTAGATATTCTCATTTGCCACTTGGCTTACTTTCCATTAGAATGCAAGTGTTCTTCTCTCTGAAGCCTGGTCTCTGACCACTATACCTTTAAAACCATGCTTGGTTCTAACTTTTGTGACCCTGTCTTGTGGCCATTCAGAAAGGGAGCCCTCCTCAGACGTTATTGTCACGATGGCCACAAATACCCACGGCCATCTTAGCCAGTGTAGCAGTCCTAAAAAGAACAGGGATTACCCAGTCCAGATGATTCATAAATTCCTTGAGTCTACCAGGGTAGAGCAGAAAGTCCACTTTGATTCCTATGTATACTGCATAAGAAGTGTCTTCAGACTTATCAAAGCACTTTTTCACGAAGGGCTTTCCTCGCTGAACTTTCTCTTCTGCCCCAGTTCCCTGATATTATTTTTTTGGGGAGGGAGATTCTGTATCTAACTGCCTTGAGACCTCCTCTCTTGGCTGTCTGCACACCTGCATCCCTCATGCGCCCCCATCTTTTCCTTCCCTCCTCTCAAGTGCAGCTCCTTGGGGCTCTTGAATCCAATCTCTAGCCTCTCTTGAGAATATTTTAATATCCTTTTCTGTCAAGGCCCAGAAAGGATTGGGGTTGACTAACAGGGACTGTAAGGAGCTAGCCTCAAAGTCTGAGCGATGACCATGTGGCACAGCACTCTGAATCATCAGTGGAATTCAATTAGGCTCAACTCAGTCTCAGCTCCTCTTACTTACCCTGGTCTGAAATCGGCCTCTTCCTCCTCTTCCCCCCCCCCGCCCCGCCCCCGTTCAAGAGCTCTGGTCTCACTAGGGTCACTCTTTTAAATAACAAACCAAGCAGCCACAACATTTAGCCACAGCGGGAGATCTTTGCAAATAAAATTGTTGCAAATGGTTGGTTGTTTTATGAGGATGACTTTTTCTTTGGCCCGCTGCTCTCTGCAACAGCCTCCTCAGGAGGTATTTGGGACTGACCCAGCCCCAGGTGACACTAGAAATACAGTCAGGAAATGGTTTTTCCTCTTCCCGTCTGAAAACCCAGGAACATTAACAGGCCCCATCCTCTCCGGAAGCATTGTAAGGGGGAAGTAAAGTTCCCATTTATACCTGACCAAACTGTGCCTTTCTTTCTGTTTAAGTCTAGACTTAGGGAACAGGGATTGGAGACTCTATGTTATCGCTGAATCCCATAGACAGACACACATTAGAAGTGATTCACTTGTTAGTTACCAAAGGAAGATTTTTTTTTTTTTTAAATGACACATAAGCATTCTCAGAGAGGATCCTTGAAATAAACATTATTTATCAGGTATCAATCCAAATTCCCTACTGATAACTTCTTAGCTCCTTGAAGCTTGGCCAGCCAGATATGGTTTTGGTGACTATCTCTAAATAGGCTCTAGGTTGCTGGACAAGACTGGCAGGGTTGCAAGAAATATATAAAA